CTTTTGCTCTCTCTCTCTCTCTCTCTCTCTCTCTGGGTACATAATTATTGTTATTTTGGTTCATATTGTTATTTAGGTTGATACCTAATAAATAAATTCTTAGAAAATACTTATTAGATCGGGGAAAAGATAATTTTTCCCCTTTCTGTTCAATATTAGTTATTACCTTTTGGAGGGATTTCTTGTTGAGTTATTAATTGATCATTTTCCTGAGCTTCTTCTAGTTCTTTCATCTCGTAAATTTTTACTAAATCATCTTCTTTTACGGCAATTGTAGTATGAGTAACTTTTTCTTGTTTTTTAGTATCTTCTTTTTTAACTTTTTCAACTTTAATATTTTCTTCATAATAAGATAATTTACGATAAGCAATTATCTCTTTTTCTAATCCTTTTATAGCTTCAATCATTCCTTGCACTTCACTACTTTTTCCTTTTTCTAAATCCTTAACTAACTCATCTCTTTTTGTTGTTAATTCATTAATATCTATCTCTCCATCTAATTTTCCATCCCATTCTCCATCATATATATCTAAAAACTTTTTGACTTTTTCATTCAAATTTTTAACAGATCTATTTACTGTTCCCCTTAATCCAGTAATTCTTTCAAATTGAGATAGTATTCCTAACAATTCACTATAATTATCTAAAAAATTACCAGCATCTAATAAAAATTCCTTTCATTTATCCTCTCTGTCTTTCAAATTTTCTTCTAATTTTCAAGACATTAATTCAGAAAAAGGAGCGATTGCCAAAACTCCTATTCCCATTTTTATACCATCTTCTTGAAGGGTTAAAGCGGTTCCTGTCACAGTTGCAACTTGACTAATAAATTTAGTGCCATAAATAGCTATTTTGTATTTCCACAATTCTTTCGGAGATTGCAAATCACTTAATTCGGTTAGTTTGCTTACGTTTGTTCCTCATTTTCTTAAGAAATTTTGAATGTTACCACGAATGATACATAGTCTTTCTAACGGAATGGTTTTAGCAATCATTTCATTTTTCTTATATCAACCCGTAATTTGTAAATTACTATTGGATAAATGCTCGAAATCTTCCTTGACTTTAGTCATTTCAATTTGTAACTTTTCTAGTTTAGTTAGATCTTTTAGTGCTACTAAAGAACCATAAAAACGATTATAAATACCTTGTTCAATTCTTTCTTCGATATCATTTCCTAAATATAACTCTTTTAAGTTAATGAATTTGCTAAATACACTTACATTTTGTCGAAGAAAATTATTGTTGACGATACTAATACAGGTTAGAGTTTCGGGATTAAAAGCATTTCAATCTAGTTCAGTTAAATCATTAGTCCAAGCATAGAAAATTTTTAATTTCAACTGTGAATTAGGAAGTTTTATCTCTTTTAGTTTATTGTCTCAACATTTAAGTTCAGTTAATTTGGGACAATTGGATAAGTCTAAAGAAGTAATCTTATTGTAAGAACAGTCTAGTTTTTCTAAGTTAGGAAATTCTGAAAGATCTAATTCACCAGTTAGTTTTTCTCAATTAGGTTTTACTTCTCATCTATCATCTTTGTCAATTCAACCACTAAGATTTAATTCAGTGGTAGTTTTTGTTTTTTCTTTAGGATAGTTACTGTTTAAATATTCTTGGGCATTTACCATAATATTAATTTTACCAAATTTTATCTACATGTAGATCTACATATATAAATAATATAAAATATTATATAGATAAAAATGAGGTTTTGACAAGTTCTCTAAACCCTTGTCTAGCAAGGAGAGATAAAGAAAACTTCTGTATATATATATATATATATATAAGAGAAATGATAAAGAAAAATAATACAAGGTGAAAGTTAGATGGTAAATATTAATGGGGTTGATAATTTGATGGGTTTTTATTCCTCCCACTTACTTAGATGCTAGATAATAAGCAAGTAAAAAATGACTTTGTTCCTTTTCGTTGGTTGAAACTAATCTCTTCCCCAAAGTCAAAAAAGTGAAAAGAATATTTAAGGAGATTTCTTGCTAGTTGCCACTTCTTAAATATTTATAACAAATGCAAAAGCAATTAGTGCTAAGGCTAGGTGAGGCTAAACCCTAGCAAAAAAAGGAAATTAAAATACTATGAATAAAATATATAACGAAAATTATAATAATAAATATAATTTAGATCCAAAATATATCAGATGTGCGGGCTGTCCTAAACCAGCCTGTCTGAGAAATAACGGAAATAGTCATATTGTTGCTTACAAAAGTCGCAATAATAAGGAATTATGTTGTAAATGTGCAAAGAATATTTGTCAAAAATGCGGTCGGCAAGAAAAATTAGTCAACTGGATACGAGGTGAGAGAATTGAATTAGACATGCCCTTTGTCTATGAGAAAGATGAGGATAATCCTAGCGGTGAATGAGTTGTCTATTATTGTAGCAAGTGTAATCCAAGTGAAATTGAAAGGATAAAGCGGGTTAATCATCAAGTAGAAAAATGGGAAATTGAGGAAATAAAGCCAAGTTCTCCGAAAGAGGAACAGTGAGCAAATTGCTCTCATTGCAAAAAACAATTCAAAAATAGTTTATTTGATAAGTGGATTAAATATGGTCGTTCGTCAATAGGGACAGTGTATTGTAGTAAAAATTGCTATGAGGCTTCGTTTTCTAATACTGACGAAAGATTTATTTATGACGCTAAAACTGGAAAATTAAAAACGCAAACAAACGATGATAAGAGTAATGAAATTAGAAGGCATAAAAATACTTTGCTTGAACTTGAAAAAGAAAGAGAATATAATGAAAAATTATTAACTCATGCTGAAATCTGCGAGGAAAGCAAATGTCCTGACAAGAGAAATTATGAAAAGATTAAGAAACGAGTTGCTGAATTAGATCGCAAAATCAATTATCATAAGGGTCAGTTTTCCGAAAAACGGTAAAGATAACCAAGCAAGACCGGTAAAATTTGTGGTTGACAATGAAAAATCTCCTAAATTGCCTGAAAAAACCTCTAATGAAGGAGAAAGACAAACCCTGATTATCAATTTGAAAAGTATTAAACGAATAACTTTGACATCTGATAA